CCTAACATTGAAAAAATTCCAAAGAAATCCTTTAAACAATTAAAAAATGCAATTTCCAATGTGCAAATACAGATTTGGCAAGAGCGCTGGGCTTCGTCCACAACAAAAAACGGCAGACATACAGAAAACCTAATACCGGCGGTATCAATTCATACGAAAAAATTTAGTCATTTTATTGTACAATTTTTGAGTGGACACGGTAGATTCCCAGCGTACTTTGTACGATTTGGGAGGAGCTTGAACATCAAATGCCCTTGTGGCGCCGTGGGAGATACTTTACACTACATAGTGAATTGCCCATTCACGGAAAAGTATGCAAGAAAAGCTAATTTATGATAAAGACAATCTGTCCACAATTTTAAACAGAGAGAAAAATTTAGGTCTCCTTCATTCTATTTATCAGGAGGTTAATAACCTTGTTCCACAGGTTTAGTCCTGTTTTTTTTTCTCTCTCTTTTTTATGCTTGTCAATTTCTGTTAGAATCTAGAGCCGACCAAGTCTGCGGCAGCATGAAACCACGTCATCTAAAGTGTTTTGCACATTTTGGTGACCCTCCGGATGGAAGCATCGATGTACGAGAAAGTGTATATATATATTTATATAAAGAAAATATAGTATGAGAACATCTCACGGGCCCTCAGCACTATCCTGACAATGGACTCGTCTCCGGGACCAGGGGCGAGGTGTCCCGTAATCAAGAAGAAGAAGTCAATACCCCACGGTATTTTGTATACCAAGAATATTTTGCCAAATCTTCCGGTCGAATAATAAGTCAGTCCCAATCAGTTCGGTTCTTCTGTACTTGCAGAAACTGACATTTTTCAGATCTAGAGAGCTTGTAGTTCTTTGGACATTCGTTTCTTCTATGCACACAAAGAAAAATAATGGCTTGATCGGGCAGAAAATATGCCCAACCTATCCGCGTCCGGCACGCTTTTGGTACCCAAAGGATTAGATTTCCGAAATATGGTTGCACAAGCTTTTTACTTTCCCTCCAACAAAAGTTCTTCTCTGCAGAATGAAATCGAAGTGCCCAAACGATTTTCACGCCGAACAGTTTCACGGTTTATTCCAATCACACAGTTTGTCACTTTTGCTTCTTTTTTAAAATAGCCCCTTTGTTGGGACACAGGTTTTAGTATTTGTCGAACTCGCCGCTTTATGAAATTCTAGCTGTTGCCAGCAGAGAAAGGAAAGTAAAGGCTGCGAATAAAGGGCAATAAATCCTCCCATTGTACTGTCGGGAAAGGGCGATCAAAAGGAAAGGGTTGAGCTGTTGTGTCCAGGAGAGCGTGCAATTTGGAACATAAATAATCCCGGATGAAAAGACTCGGGGATGAAAGAGTTATAAAGTTTGACTTGAGTGTAGATCTCGAATTTAAACTCATAGTTTTGTATTGGAAAAACCTTCCATAACCTACCTACAGATGAAACAACTTAAGGTATCCGCCTACGTTGAAAGCACTGATTTTCGACCACTTGGGCGAAAATTATTTTTTGACTTTTTCTTGTAGTTCAGACCTTCATCTTTCCAAATCCGTTTACATTTTGTTTCTAAGTGAATTAGAATAAAAGTTACAACGGTTTTAAAATACTTTGTCTGAAGCAAAACCAACCGGAAGGAAATCTTTAAGTCCAGTTTTCTCAGAACTTTGTTTTTCATAAAATTTCCCCGTCGTTAACATTATGGGGTCTATTCTAATACCCCCGGTTGGGTTGGGAGTTGGATTGGGTTCCGTTGTTAACGTGTCCCTATATCTCGAAATCTAATAAAGATATTCACTTGAAAGTTTCAGCGCGTGTTTCAAATAGTATAAGCAATGAAATGAAGCAAAATATTTGCTGTTAGTGAAATACTTTTTAATTTACGGGTGTGTTTAGAAAAATTAAGTTGTAAATTAATGGGAAAATGCAATCATATTTTTACCCCTAATTTACTTGCATTTCAATTTTTTTTCTTATTTTGGTTCATTTCATAGATTATTGTCCTCTATAACTTGTGTGCAAAGGAAATTAGAATTACTGCCTTACAATTTGGTGTAGAGTGTTAACGGTGTTGGTTAAATTTCGTTAAAATTTACCACAAATCCCCATGTTTCTTAAAAAATAATACATTTATAAGAAACTTTTTGGTCTTTTTTGTGCTTGTAATTGATAATTCATCTAAAAAATCAAAAAATTATGAAAATATACAATTTTTCCAAAATTTTGTTCGGAACGTAGCGGTCACCTTAAATAAATCACGAGTCTGGTTCAAAAAGATTGTTAGGATTGCAACTTGGATCCCAGTTTTGTTATTTGGTAAAGTCTCTATTTTATGGGTTGAGTGAAGGTTCCGTAGTTGCATTCGTAGATTCCAAAAAACACAACTAAAATCTGCCTATTACTGCGAGAGAGAGAGAATGAATGTCTGAGCTTATGCACAGATCCTAGACAACGCCTCCTATGTGACGTCACACTCAGCACAGCGCAGCTAGATGTTAACAATTCAACTTTGCACATCAGAACAAGAACCGCACGAACCGCAAGATAAAGACAACTTAAAAAAAAAAAAATTGCACAAATGTTAAGGGGACATACGATTGTTAAACCTCGAAATTTTTCGATTTTATGAAAATATATATATATATTATTTCCCAGTCTTTTGTGAACAACTTAAAACAATCCGCGTTAAAAAATTCCCATAATTATGAAAGTTATGAAGGAAAATGTTTCAGCTGTTCAACGTAAACACTAAAAAAGGCCATATCTTTAAAGAGCCATATCTCAAAATGTGTTTTCTTTTATATTACGCGTACGATATCTCAAAAACTATTGAATATATTTACATAAAAGTTTTACTGAAAATGTATTGAGCTATGCTCTACAAAATGAACCACAATTTTTGTACATATTTTGTCCAAAGAAATTTCGGGGGAGGGGGGGAAGAAAAGTTGAAATTTTAACTATTTTTAACATTTTATTTTAAATTGGTATATAAAATAGAAATTCAATTTAAATGTTAATACATTGAGATTCAGTTTCTTAAACAGACTGTTTGAATTAGTTAGATACCCGAAATATTGTGTTTAGACCAATATTTTATCCGTAATCATGAGCTCAAGGTGAATATCTCACTTTTTATCCAAAAATTATACCCATATTTATTACTCTCTCAAATAAATACATTCCAATGTAAAGGTTTGAAAATGTGTGTAGTATAAGAGAAAGAAAAGATATTTTTCTAGAAAAATGTGAATTTGTGAATTGCATTGTTTCAGAGATATAATGTATGGAATTTGACAGTTTTCATCCCATTTTTTCGAGGTTTAAGAGTCGTATGTCCCCTTAATAGAATATTAATAAACAAGTTATTTTCTCGCCAAGAAACGCGGTCACAGAATTCAAAATTAAATATTACTACTCACCGCAAAATATTTCAAAATCGATTTTTCACACTTTACTAACTTGTACTTTTCACCTTTACTACCGTCTATTTTATTAAAATAACACTAATAACTACATTACAGTATAATTAGCTGCAGCCGGCGACTTCGTCCGCATAGTAACACAGGAGTGGTACGCTGTTTTTCGGGATAAAAATACTTTCACGTCTAATAGTTTCAATGTAATATATAAAAATACTTTTATATAAAATATAAAATTTATAAAATATAAAAAAATATTTTTATATAAAATTTATAAAAAATATAAAAAATACTTTTATATAAAATATAAAATTTATAAAAAAATAAAAAAATACTTTTATATAAAATATAAAATTTATAAAAAATAATAAAAAATTTTATATAAATTTATAAAAAATAAAAAATACTTTTATATAAAATTTATAAAAAAATACTTTTATATAAAATATTACAATAAATATGGAACCATAGTTTTTTAACTAAGAAAAAATTGAAGGTGCTGTCGTTTAGAATCCTAGGAGACCCCAGATGACTGCTGACTATAGAACAATTATTGGTCACATGACTCACAATGTCAGAACGAATTTAGCCACCAATGAAAAGTCACCGAACACCAGACAGGGAGGAGAAGAGACATACCATGTCACCACATCCACACTGCAGGGATCTGTAACCAGTGAATCATAACAATTCCTGCCTCCATATTAGCATATTTAATTTATTTAGTTAATATATTAAATTAGAAAATCTGACGTTCAAATTTCGGGATAAGAGGATTTTAAAAACCAGAATTTACAAAAAAAAAAATGACTGAAATTATTTCATTTAATCAATATGTACGACACGGATATAAATTAAATGCAAAAGAATTAGAAAGTATTCGTAAAAAAAATTTAAAAAATTCGTTCACGTGAAAACAAAAGTTTTGTTAGACAGTGTGTTTGAAAACATTTCCAAAAATTAATAAAAATTAATCACAATACCGCATGGAAATGTCATTGGTATCATTGAAAAGCTAATTCTTTTAACTTTAAGATCATGTTAAAATGGTTTCTGTGCATTAATATAAACCGAATTTATTCCGGAAGAACATTAAAGCCTCGGTAGCGCAGTAGGCAGTCTCATAATCACTCCAACGAGTAATCTGAAGGTCGTGAGTTCGATCCTCACCCGGGGCAGCTATTTTTTATTACCATAATGTTACACTCCATAGTTTTTGCTGAACTAGCACCTTGATCACAAACTAGACAGGGTGATTCAAGATAAAAAATAATTCTCAAAAACTATTATTGGCACACGAAAAAATTTTGCATCAGAGATTTGGCCGATTTCAGCGCTCACTTTCAAGATGGTTGCCGTCTCCTTTTTCTAGGTGCATGGTTTAAAGAGTGGTGCTCTATTCTTCCTCTGTGTAGAAGCACCCGCCTGGTTAAGGTGCTCACAAACATAGCGAAAAAAATCCCACAAATTCACTACTCCAACATTCTACTTTCTTCTCCTATGTACAGATTGCATCTCGAATACACTTTTACGCCCCTTTTCTGCGGTGAATCGCACCCATTTAAAGCTATGAATAAATATAAGCAATCTCACTGGAACTTGTTTAACGATAGCTTTTAATGAATATATCTTTTACGGGTCTATTCTGGTACCCCCAACCCAACCGGGGGTACAAGAATACACCCCTTAGAGCAGAGGTTCCCAACCTGTGGTACGCGTACCCCTGGGGGTACGCGAAACCAAAGTTTGTAACGGCGGAAACAAGAAAAAACAAGGAATTTTAAAAAAAAGTCATAGAATTTTGTTTCCCCAAATGAATACTTGCTAATTAATAACTAAACCACTTGAAAAGTTAATTATTACAGAGTGTAATTTTTAGACATCCTTATAAATTGATGCGAAATTCTTGCAGTACTTATTTCATTTGTTTTGGCGTTGAACTAATAATATTGTGAAAATGGAATAAAATGTAATATTAAAAATAAATCCCGCGAATGTTATTAATTGGAGTCATTTTGATCTTTAGCCAACCTAAGCCCTTGACATTATTGATAAAAATTTCTTTGCGTAGATGGATAGTTGGTGGGTATATGACAGTAGGGGGTACGCGAAAACATAAAGATTAAGCGAGGGGTAGGCGAGGGACTAAAGGTTGGGAACCTTTGTTTTAGAGAATGGCAACAGGTTTTGTAGTTTAGTAGGTGTAAAAGAATAAAGTTAAGTTTATTGATTTGAACCTTGCAGTGATGTTTCTTTTGTTAGATTACGATATACAGTGGAATCTCCCTATAACGAAATCGCTTGGTTCCAGTTAAAAAATTCGCTATAGAGAAAATTTCTTTATACGGAGATTAGAGATTTTTGCAGTTATTTAAGTAAATGTTACAAACCTTTTAGTATGTGCGATAAGTTCAAAAATATTTAATTATGACTTTCAATTAAAAGTGAAATAATATTTATTATAAATTTGTTAAAATTATACTAATTTTTCTTGTATAAACAAAATGCTCAAAAGTGAAGATAATTCACCAATTTAGAGAACAATATGTACTAGTACGGATAAACATAAAATGCGTATTGTCACATTCATTTGCTGTTTCGACCCCGATTCCTGGAATCTTGACCCGTAGAAATGTTGCTCCCTCTGTAGAAACCCAGGTCCCCACAACTGCATTACCCTTCACGTAGCATTCTATTGTTATTTGTTATCTCTGAAATGAACAATGCCAGTGGTTCCAGAAACAGGCACGTGTGAGCGATTTGTGTGCACAGAAATTAGCAACTTTCTTCAAAAATGACAAAAATCGAAAAGATAGAGTCTGAAAAAATTCGTTATAGGGAGACAACCACTTCGTTATATGGAGAATATTTTGAATGTTATTTAACATTCCGATTAAAAATTTCGTTATAGGGAGAAATTCGCTGTAGGGAGACTCTACTGTACTTTGTAATGTATAACCAGAAGCTTACGGCATTCGGGTAGATTCCTAGATAGCAACTCTCACCATCTTTTGATATCAAATGCAGCTGAGAGCACAGCAGCAACAGAAGTTGATGGGATTCTTGTGAAAGCAAACCTGTTTTTTGCCCCTTCTGAATATCAATCAAAATGCAACAATCGAAGCACTTTTTTCAAAAAAAATCCGACTTTCTGCTGCCGTGATGGATGGCGCATCAGGTGAGGGCATCGAACTAACCTTGGTGAATCGGAGGGGCGCCCATCTTCGAAATTACGAACGACAATGTCAGGGACATGGGAGACAGGTGCTGGCGGAGGGTGGGGCGAGCTCTGGGGGCTTCGACGCACGCGAACATAACGGGGGAACAAGTGCAGGCAGGGGCAGGAATGCGAGGTGATTAGAAACGGACGCCGAAAATTATACCCCTCGCTTCCTTTTATTAGGCTGGGAGCGTGAGAGAGAGAAAGAAGATCCGACCCCTTAAGTAGATGGGCTGCGAAGGGGCACTCGAAAAGATTCTTTTCTTGTCAAAAATGTTCCAAACGAGGAATCTTTCAGATAAGTAGTAATTCTTTTCCGATGCTAATGTCGGCATCTGCTGCCAGGGTGAGAAAATGGTACCTTGTCATTCGATTAGAAAATTTTTTATAGCATTTTGAGGGGACAGTTGAGGACGGTGACACCTTTCGCAGGTTTCATCGTTTTTCTCCGATGAAAAATGAATGATGGCCGCTGGAACAGCAACTTGCAAATGTCTTCATCTGCGAGGCACCTGTGGCTAAATGAGAAATATAAGTAAATTTCCTATGAAGGTGAAAAGTTCAAGTTTTCTTCGTTTCTACAAACTCATGCAAATGCCATTCATTTTATCAAATTGAAGACGATCTCTCTGTTACACATAAGATACTTCGAAAAATGAAGCACGCAAGCTACGACGGGGGAGGGGGATCAACGCTAAACAAATTATTACAACTCGGCTCCAAATATACATTTTGAGAAGTAGCTGATTTCGCAACGATAGAGCAGGGAAAATTCCTAATGTTTCACTTTTTCAAAATTAATCATTGCATCATGAGCAGTCTGTTGTGCAAAGAATTTCAATTGATTTTGAGAGAGAGTTCTGAAAATTTATAATGCTTCACTTTTTCAAAATTAATCATTTCATCATGAGCAGACTGCTATGCAAAGAATTTCAATTGATTTTGAGAGAGATTTCTGAAAATTTCTAATGTTTCACTTTTTCAAAATTAATCATTTCATCATGAGCAGTCTGTTGTGAAAAGAATTTCAATTGATTTTGAGAGAGTTCTGAATGGCATACTACACTCACCTATCATTATTAAACTGAAATCTATAGAATGGTGGGTGGTTCCCATTGAGTAACTGCTACCAAATATTTTCCTCTTTATTCCATTATAGGGATTAGCCTAATTTTTAATAATGAATTGCAGCTTAGATGCATTGTAGAGTGAGACCAGCATTCTCTGGTAACTGATTCAGCTTAGTAGCACAAAAATAAAATATTTCCATATTTTTTTTCTTTTAATTTCCAATTTATGATTTTTTTTCTATATATATTTTTATTCTACTGCATGTTATTCTATCACAAGACCATATTTGATTCCACAATAGAATTTAACATGTTAGTCGCCACAACTCTCATCTGAGATTCGAACCATCTGTCTTATTAGATCACCCCTTCTCTGCTGTCTCTTAAATACATTAGAGGAGGGGTCATCTGATTGAATGGTAGGTATGAATCGTATTTGATCGCCGTGTGAATCGTATTTGATTCATGTGGTGATTAACACGATAAACAATGAGTTCTGACCACAAATGCGGTTGCACACATGCTTTTCAGAATTTTGGAAACACTGACAGTACACACTTCTTTCACACTTCTGTGACAGTCACATTCATTAATCGCAAGGAAACTAAGAAACGTACCTGAACTTTCTGCTTTGCAAATTCTTTGGAAATTCTTGAATATTTAAGAGAGATCTTGATTTCGAACAATATACTGAAATTTTCCAATAAACTGTATTTAAACTAAACTTATTTTTATTCATCAATAATTAAACCTTATTTGTCTTATTTTGTTCTCTGTGACGGTTACACTTTAGGTTTGTTAATATCCTCCTTCCTTTCCTGATTATACAGTAATGCCGAACTTATTTCTAGTGGAAAAAGAGAAGTCCTGCCTCACGGCAACAAATCGAAACTAAAAATTTTATTTTATTTTACCCTACAATACCATTTTTTTTTTTAATGTGTGTTTAGTTATCTGCCAGTGATGCCTCTTTTATTCTAAATTTACCATTTCTAGACAAATGTCTAATGCTTAGAGTCTTTCTTTAAGTTACCAACTAACACTGTCAGTTAGGCAACGATTTTCGCAGCTGCGTTGATCCACAGGTTGAAGACGGTCGGTTTCAATACCGACCACATTTGAATTCATAATGACGTGTAGAATGCGAACGAATCTAGAAAGTTAACTTACAAGAATACAAAATAAAATGCGTCAATAAAAATAAATAAGCCATGCTACTCAAAATCGCTGTGTATTCAACGAAGCTTTATAGCAATTGTGCTGAGGTAGATGAAGATTGCTAGGGAAATTGTATGGAAGTCTGCAATCCTTCATCTGCTTTCTTCAGCGTAACTTCCTTGGTTTGCGAGTCGTCTTCCTCTTTCTCCTTTCCAGTATATGTTCAATTACTTTGCTGCCAACAAGAGAGATAAATAGAGTCAGGAGCAGAAATGTTTATTTCCACCAAAGTCTGTATCTTCAGACGGATTTTCGAGATAATTTCCATGTACTTCTCTGAAAAAGGGCTTTTCTGATTTTTTCCCTCGTTGATTGATTACTAGAGAAACGCTTTGCAGTAAAATTTGGATCATACAGTGATTTAATAATAAATTATAATTTTTCGAAATTTCGGTGCGAAGTTACCTCATAGGTGGAGATTCTTTGCACTGGTTATTATTTTTTGGGGTATATTTCAAAAACAAATTCACTGGGTTCAATTTCAGATACATTTATGGAGAACTTGGGTGGAATTACACAAAAAAGTAAATTTTATAAATACCTGATTTATAGTTTACGAACAGTAACACTGAATTTTAGTAAAATTGAATATCCTGAATACCATGAACACTTATAAATTAAATACATTATTTAAATTGCATTTTCTCGAATACCATTCGAAGATTAGAGT